TCGGGTTGAAGGTTATAACTATGGTTGAAAGTTATAACCATGGTTGATAGTTATAACTGAATTAACTTTTTGACCAAAAAGTTGATCGGTTATAACTCAAAAGTTATAACTCGAGTTATAACTCGGCTAGTTTTAACTCCCACACTGATTATGCGTCAGTAATAAACTCAAAATTTATCAAGAAAATATATTTGAAATCATTTACAGTCTATCAGCACTTCTGGCTCAGACAAACCAAAGTAATCTTTTTCTGTAATATTAACTGCAGCAGAGTCAATTACTGTCGACAAAAACGAGTAAAATATGGGTTGTGGTTGTGTGGTGTGGCTGTGGCCATGGATGTATGAAGTGTAGAGTGATCCCCATACCCACACGCTTGTTGTTTTGCGGCTTTAAGTTTTACAATACTCAAGTATTCAAGTTCCAGTTATCGTGCTAGCCATTTCTTCTGTTTTGCGTGCCTCCGCCTTCTGTGACTCACACACTAGAAGGTAGTACCATTGGTATGTTTGTTTCATCAGTGCTTGTATAGTTGAAAAGTAGGATATAAACTAAATAAATCGTTTCTTTAAACTTCAATAACTTGATGCTAACACAAATGAACACTTGATATGTAAGTTTTCAAGTTTCATGTATACAACATTTGAATTTAAGGTTCAACTCTGATCTATACGATTAAATAATGAGTTGCATCTGTCAGAAGAAAAGAAAAAATACTGTATAAATTATTTAATGAATACAGAAAAAGATAGGCGGGTGCGTACGGGTGTGAGTGTTTTGATGCTTCTTCACCCACACCCTCGTTTGTCTGCAATTGCAATATGGTTGAAATATCATTCTTATCCTTTAAATTTCTTCATAAAAACAGCTATCTTCTGATTTCTTCTCCTATGTAGAATGAAGTTTCGCAAATAGCATGAAAATATCACCATGAACAATACTTTGGATCAGTTGATTTGCATTTTTGTAAAATAAGAATGAAAAACGAAAACGAATATTTAGAATGGAAAACAATCTCAACTACTGTTATTAATGATAATGAAAAATTGGATCAGCTTTCACACATTTTCTATATACCGAAGAAGTTAAGAGCAATAAACTGGGTTGGATACTATTCTAGAATACTAATGAAGTGAATATGTTCTATTAGCAGCAACATGAGCAAAATAAGCCTGACCAACATTGGTATCATTTATACGATAATTAAAATTAATTGTACTTGAACGAATAGTAATAAGTTGTACGATGTGACATAATTAAAAATCGCGTATGTTGAAGTATAAAGTTTTAAAATATTCGTTTACATCATCTATTTTTGTTATTCTTATTATGTTTTCTATATATAAAGTGTTATGATGTAAAACCAAACGCCCTTTTGAAAATTCCTTGTCAACTTGCTAATTTTAATAGTATAGGCAAGTTCAACTATTTGTATTGACATCAAAGCATTCTTACTAGTGTAGAAATAGAGGTGATACATTCATATTCCTTTATCACTCATAGTAACATGAACTTACGGATTGATGAAAATTTAGTAATGAGAACCTCAGCATCTAGAATAGTAGCATAACCAAGAAATCGTTGGTGATAGGACAGTGCTTGACGATCTTGGGGAAATATATGCATTATAGTGTCAATGATAATAATTTTTTATACTTTTCTTTCTTGTAATGGCAGAGTGAAGACGATCGATGGTAAAATAGTTCCCACCCCTAGTGACGCTACCAGCTGAGAATGTAACTAGGTTACAACACAATTGTCGAAGCAAACCATAGTGACAATAATAAAATAATTTTTTTCTTTCTCAATTTTTTTTTCATTTACGAATAAATTTTATTTTATCGAGATTCATACAACGCATATTATTGGAGGTTGAACAACACAAAGAATGGCAAGTAAGCAGTGTGTCATTATTTGTTCTCATATGAACAACTCATTTCGTGCATTTGTTCTTTTTTCAGTAATTATAGATTTGAGAAAACTTGTTTTAGATAGATTTTTCTTAACTATGGAATCACTGCAGAAGATTGACTTTCGAATAGGTACAATTCTCTCTGTGAAACCAAATACAAAAGCAAAAATTCCTTCTTTCATTGTTGACATTGATTTTGGTAATGCGATCGGAAAGAAAACAACGTCAGCACAGTTGCCAGCTAATTATACTGAATATGAACTTCTACAATCAAAACAGGTTGTGTGTGTTGTCAATTTTCCAGTAAAAAGAATTGCTGGTTTCAAATCGGAAGTGCTCATTGTTGGATTTCCAGATGAAAAATCAAAAGTTGTTTTATTGAATACACGAAATGTAAAAGTTCCTAATGGCAAACAAATTCTTTATTTATCATCGACAGTAAGCACAGATTCAATGATAACGACCGATCAACATACGAAATCAACTGATGAATTTGATATAACGAATACTAACAGGAATTTTAATGATAATCTTTTACCTGAAGCAACTTATGAACAATTTGAAGCCTCCAATATTATTGTTGGAACTATCAAACACATACAACAAGAACAAAATTTGCACAAGTCAACGTTCACAGTTGATTTTGGTGAAACGATTGGTGAAAGAACTTTTGTTGTTCGAAATCTCTCGCCTGATATTGTTTATGATTTATCAACCCAATTACCAATCTCAATCAATCAACAGACTAAGGAGATTGTTCCATTAGCCATAACAAAGGACGATGATCACCATTCAATTGTTCTCCTTGGTGTTGATCGACAAGTACCTAACGGAGGAAGACTTTTTTAACTTACGTCTATGATATTTAGACTAAAGATTAACTTTTGAATTCAGCTTATCTTATGTGTATATGTATGTATCCATTTTTTTTCATATGTTCTGGTTAAAAAAAAGATATGTTAGTTAAATATTTGAAATCTTACATTTACGGTGCAATCAAGTTTTAAGTTGAACCTCCAGCTGATTTAACTGTAATTTGATGTAGTTGTTTTATATGTCGTAAAAAAACAAAATGGTTATCCTAATTTCTGAGCAGTAATGACTAATTGATAATATATACATTCTGTACACATACAGCTAAGCATATGTTTTGTCATCAATGTAATATGTAAAATATTTTTCAGCCACGTAACAGTCTGGATATTTTATGGATATGCTGCCACATTGCATTGATTCACGAACAATTTATTCAATCAAATATATTAATTTTGACGAACAGAATGGAGAGATAGTAATGCATGAACTTATAAAAGATGAAGATATGAATCCATTTAGAATTGAATAAAGCAAAGAATGAAATCGAATAGAATTGTTTCCTATTCGATACACACAATTTTCCCACAGTATATACTTGGGTCCACGAAAATTGGTCGACGAGAAAAATAGTCGAAAAATTCTTAAAAAGAAAAAAGAAGAATCTTTCAACAAGAGCGACAACAGTGTGAAAAATAAATTATTATTACTATAGAAGCTGTCGCTGGTACTTTTAATATATTTTTTATAGTTTCCTCTGCAAGTAAAATAGACTTCAACTTCTTTTCAGAACAGTTAGTTTTAAGCAGTAGCAAAAACGAAGATAAAAACGAGTGCAGATGTTGTGATGGATCCTCTTAAACCCCATCACAGAGTAGAATTTAGACCAGTTCTAACACTCACACGTGCACCTGCACCGGTACCCTCATCTGCACTCGCACCAGCACTGACAATCATACCGCACTCTTAGAACGCTTTTTTCGCATTTTCTACAACTCTACTAGAATTAATTTCGATACCATTTCATGAAAATACATGCATCTAACAATTTTAATTTTAAAAAAGAAATTCTAGTTCATATGCTGCGTGTGTTAGAAAAAAAGTTTCGTTGTAGTGATGGACATTTTACTAATGGCGTCTTTCGTTTTCTTGTAAAGCGTTGGATGATCCGTTGCATTCGAGATTTCAATTTTTTTATTAAGAATGTTTCGAGTATTTTTCGCGTCGATCAGTTTTTGCTTTCCCCCAACCCCTTAATAAAAACGATGACATACATATGAGTGAATTGCAAGTTTTTAGGACGGTTGAGATTTTAGATAAATTTTATATATGTTACTGGTCTGTGGGTGTGCCCCTGTCATACAGAATTTTAGCTGCTGAGATCCTATGGTCGTTGAGCTATGAGGCTTACACTGTCAAAAAATAATATTTTACATGAAGACATGCTGAGAAAATGATATTTTCTAAATATAAAAGAAAAGAGAAAAACTATAATGAATACTTCATTTTGTACAAGTTGAATTGCTCTATCGCGTGATATATCTATTGTATTTTGTTCTTTTTCTTTTCATGCTCATTCATCTCAAATATTTCGTTACAGACACTTTGTCATTTTCGTGTAGAGGGAACTTATTTTTCGATCTTCTTTCGTTGACTACAAGTTACACAAATCTAAACGTTTACAAAAGAAAGTCGGTTGAGTAGAAAAAAACTTGATAAAAAAAGAATTTTCTCTTAGAGACTTTTTACGTCGTTAAAATAACTTTTGGATAACTAATCTGTTTTTGCTAAAATTTATACCATAAATATAGTTCTAAAATTTTCAACAAACAGTAGATCAAAAATAATAATCTTTTGCACCAATCAATTTGTTTTAGTGCGGAAAGTTATTCAATCTATATTCCCAGAAAAACGAATGAGGTTCAACATAGCTCAAATATAGCACACACTGATCCTGATCATTTTCTTCAAAGATAGTACAAATTTATGCATATTATTAATTGAAATATAAAATTTTATCAATTTTTTATAACAATATGTACGAATCAAAGCACAACGTCAGGCTTGAGAGCAGCAGTTTCGAAGATCAGTATTTTGAAGTTGATAATTTACTATAATAAATCACTCAACTAAAACCTTAACTTTTAGAAAATAACATCAACAAGAAAAATTGTTCACTTGTAAAGTCCATATCATCGTTGATAATTGGTAAAGTGTCTGAAAATTGTTACTATATAATATAGGCATCGAGTTTAATAAGATACACTACTGAATGTTTGCTTAGGTTTACTTTTATTTATCTTTTTTTTTTGTCAATCGTACCAAAATGTTGCAATTCACTCATATAACAGTGCACTAGGAAAGTTTCAACGTGAAATGGAAAAAACACATATTAAAAAAGAGAAAATAAAATTTAAGAAATTCCAACATATATGAATAGAGACCAGCAGGAAAAATCCAACGAGTTACTACATCATAGATAATATAAAACATCAAAGAACATACGTGACGCATTCGAAGAAGGGTGTGGGTGTGAGTAGAAGAGAGAATAGAATATTCACACCCACACTCCCACACCTACACCCACCCTCACTTCTCGTAAAATTTTAGCGTTTGATGTGCATTCTGCTTGAAAATTTCCTTGCAATAGAGTTAAAAAGTTGATCGAATTCAGGTGGCGTCACTCGTTGGACTTATAAAAGTAATCCTTGCAACCGCCCTCCGCCTACGGACGCGTGGTATACGTCTCTGAGAGATATACCCCAAAAATAACACACTAATAAAATGCAAATTTCTTCTAGATAAACTAAAATTTGAAGTAAACCATTTATTTATCATCTGTAACGACAAGGGCACCGAAAGAAAAGATACATCAAGGCGTAATCTCAAACCCCTATTATAGAACTAAGATTTTCACACAATTAAAAACAATTAGCAATAAAATTCTAAGATGATACTTTAATGGTTTTTAAGAGAGAGTATTAAGACGATATCCGACTGTTTATCATTCTTAGTTTGAGACAGAAAGAACATGAACTTTGCCAGAAGACATTAAGAATGACTCTATTTTTTAGGGTAAAATTTAAAAAAAGAGTACTTGCTAGCATGACCAAATTGGCATTGCACCCACCATGCACATCTTTGCATGAAGCTTCTTCGCATTATCATGTTCACCCTCACTTTTTATTTTATTTTATATAGCTAATTGTCTCATACCATTTTTGATATTTAGTTGGCATGTAAAAGAAAGATATTTAGAAAATATTCATGACAAACGACGATAAGTAAACATTGGACAATATAACTCAAGTGCTATTTTACTGTGGACAGTTGTTGATTCTTATCAAAGTAAGAAAAGTTACATTACTATAAGATAAGCGAAATTCTCTTTTTCGGTTTATCCATTATTTTGTTTTATTTCTTTCGTTTGCTGAATCTACTTGAATCTTTACCAGCGAGACCAAAATATCGTAAAATAATTCTTTTCGAATATAGACGTCGGCAGTGGAAAAATTTTATCTTTTAAAAATCGTATATTGGTGCAAGAGTTATGGAAATTAATAATTCAGTTTCAAATTACCTTATACCAGCAAGAAGCTTTCGGTACATTTTTTCTAGAGCAAGGCGCACAATATAACGGTCAAGGAGATATAATGATGAAAATAGAGTCCCAAAAGAGTTTTGTTGACAATGTACGACCTTTGACCAGAAACAAGTAACAGAGAAGCTTAATGAGTGTTACCAATTACAGGAAGTATTTCATTTACGGGAACCGATTAAGATAAGATATATTGCACGGAAACATAGTCTATCAAAATACATATTGAACAAAATTCATCAGGATTTAATTGATAAGAATGTTAATTCTGGTATTAAATTGATACTAGTACAGACCATGACGCATTCTATTAAAAAAGAAAATGTCGATTTTGAAATCGAAAACTTCTTGAAATTCCAACTACGTAAACGATGGAGATCGACAACATATTAATAAACGAAAAATAAAGATGTTAACTCATTACTCAAAAAGACCGATGAAAGCAGCAGTTATCAAAACTCAACAAGTACTTAAAAGCAAATTTAAAAATAAAGAATCCGAACAATCAACTAATGCATTAAATTCAATTAATTTTTTTAAGAATAGAAAAAAAGATATTAAAACTAATGTAAATACAGAAAGTCTTCCAACGGTATCGGATCAAAATGGAAATGATACATCAGTATGAAAAACTAAACGTGAAGAAATTTCCAACCTTTATAACAGAGTAAAAGGGGGGACAAGTACTAAAAAAAGAAGATAAAGATCCATACTTACCATCAAGATTTTTAGGACCCGACAAAAAATGGTTTTTAAACCCCGCGATGAAGCACATAGAAGGATTACATTTGGATCAAATGATTTCCGAGATATTTCTTGAAATATCGAAAAAGCAGATCTTAAACGATGTTATCATAGATTTACTTTTGCAATGTATAGATGATCTCAAAGGACTAGAACAAAAGCTCCTTGGTGGACCCAGTGGAAGAGCGCACGCCATAAAAAAATAATAGGCTTTTTCTTAAAACACCTGTTATTTCAGTACCAAAGCTACGACTATTCTACTCTGGTACTGATATAGATGAAAGCAAAATATCAGAAAAACTAACATCTCAACTGAAAACCATAAGAATTAACGCCATAGAAGCCATTTATAATTGTACGACACGAAATAAGGCAATTTTAAACAAGGAGCGATAAAAATATATTCAAAGATGTATAAAAGATGATGATAGTGAATTTAAACATTGGATACTTAAGGTATTAGGATCTGTAAGCGATAGTGATAGGGTAAATTATAAAAAAATATTCAATGTTTGAAACAACTAAAGCAAGTTGAGAATATTATATTCGCAATAAACTATTTACGAACAGAGTAAAGTCGAGAAAAGATGTGCAGAATTATTTAATGAAAACTGTATAACGATACTTAGTAATTTGTTTAAGCAAAAAGATTTGGATGAAAAAATAAAGGTTGATGCTTGTACAATTATTAATAACTATCTGGAGCGTAGTTATAGTAAAGGGTTGAATAAGACTCATTTTGAAAACTTCATCAATCTGATAAATAATTCACAATATAGTTAAGTTTTAAAACTTGAAGCATTGAAATCTATAGTTTTTACTGTTGAGAAAAGTAAAGATTTGCCTCAGTCTGTAATTGAAACTCTTGTTGAAAATATTAATAAAGGTGACGCTAAATTTGATAATTTTGTTATTTTAGCCTTAGGAATTGTTTCCGAACGATAGAAAATTCTTGAAGTTGATAGACTGTCAACAAAATTATTAGAAGATTGAGTGATAGTTAGAGATGGAGCTGACATTACTTTTGAAAGAAGTTCACAAGATAATAATGGCTGTCAAGCGATTTCATCAATCGTCGCTGACATCTTTGTTAAATCTTTGCAACAAGATGTTAGATTAAGTGATCAAAGTATGGAGTGTCTTACTAGGGCGCTTAATAGTTATGATAGAAACACTTGTATTTCATCAACGAAATCATTATATTTGGCTATAAAAAAAAACACGACATTAAAGATGACATTTTAGTTGAATTACGAGAACATGTAGAAAATAGTATATACGATGTTTCTGTCTATTGTACTGTTACTTATGTTCAAGGTTTAAGAAAATTGTTATCAGATGATAAGTCTATCAAAGCAAGTCATATTAATTTTCTGCCAAAACTTTATATATTCGAAAATTTACAATTAGGCGAAGACAATTTTACTGATGTAGTCAATGAAAATATTGTAACTATATTAGGGAACATACCTATACATTTTCAATTTGAAAATGATGTTTTTTTAAATTTTTGATCATATTTTATTATTTGAAAATCGCTATCAAGAAAAAGCAATCGAAGTATTAGATAAATATTCGGAAAAAAACATATCTTATACCAGAGGATACAATTTTTGCATTAGAAAATGTCGTTACGATACCGGAACTATCTAATCAAGTGTTCAAGATATTTGAAAATTTGATTTATAATAGATGAATCATTGGTGAAAAAATTTTACGCATTCTTGCTGATAACTTTTATTTTTCAGAATGATAGTGAATTACAGAATAGATCATTTCGTCTACTGAATAAGGTCAATATTAATCAAGATATATCAGATGAAATATTTGATATATTAGAGTTAGAACGAGCGAGTCTCGCTATTAGTTCATTTTCACTGGATGTCTATGAAGCTATTGCCTACTTACGTGAGCAGACGACAAGACAGGGACAAAGATTAACAATCAATTATTTTAGAGCGTTAAGTAAAAGCATTAAGAATCGGTTGATGTTGAATGAATAAATTTTAGAAATTTTGTTGAATATTTCAAATAATGGACAAATGATACCTAATAATTTAATTGATAAACTTGTAAAAAGATTTAATCTCAAACAAGTATAACATTACTTAATTGACATATTTGCAAGTTTAGTAAAAAATAATCAGAACATATCACGTGAACTTTCATCAAGATTAATGAGAGCACTAGAAAATCCACATGTTTTTGATCGGATACTTTTTATTTTTCTACTCCAAGGACAGCAACGTAAAATACTACCTGAAAAGATAATTCGTAAAATTTTAGATAAATTTTTAAGGATAGAAAATTCATTGACTATGCAACAATATTTGCCTGTCATTTGTTCAGTTATTGAAGAGATAGATTATTTTGAATACAATAAAAGAAAAGTTTTTAATCGAATACTAAACCGAATGTTTGGCACTAGCATAATTTCTGAGGTTCAAACAGCTTTATTACATGCTCTTAAAATAGATAATCAAGATGTTATTCGTAAGAGTATCAATGGATTTAAAACACTTATATCAATTCATCAGGTTGAATGAGAAAAATCGATTATAGAAGTTCTTCTTGGTCTAGCAACAAGTGTCCTTTTTGATGAATCTATGAAACAGGATATTAACATGTTATTGAATAAATCGAAATTAGATGCAAGTCAAAAACTTACATATGAACTCGCTAATTTAAACTACAATTCAGATGATCAATTACTAGATAAATTAGCTGAATTTGATCAAGCTAAATTTCTAGAAAAAAATTTTGATCAAATTAATTTTATTATCGACAACCGTTCAGAATTAGTTAGTAAAGCTTTAACAACTTTAATGCAATGTTAAATGAAATCATTTCTGAAGAATTAGAAACGAAAATAAATGTATTGTCTGATATTGATTCTACGATGAATATCGATGTAAAAATACTTGAAAAATTTTTAAATAACATGCGACAAGAATATGAAAGAAATCAAGCTTTTTCGCATTTATCGATTCAAAAATTACCTTCGTTAAAAATTCTTAAGAATGATAATGAACAAGAATTAATCTATATATATGCATTGATTTTAATACAAAATTCTGAGTATTCTTCAAATCAATCAATTGTTGATAGCATAAAAAAAACGTTTTTATCTAAAACAATCAATGAAAATATTCTAGATGCATATAAAGAGATTATCGAACGAACAAAATGTCAAACAAATCATTTTCATAGTGTATTCGATGTTTTCATAGATATTTTAAATCAAAATGATAAGTTAACAATATTTCATTTCGACATACTTGTGTGCATAGCTCTCGCATCTGAAGTTAAAAAGATTTCAAACTTAAAACCATTAGAAAAAAATATTTTCAATGATAATGAAATCATTCGTAGTTGGTCATTTCGAGGTTTAAGAGCAGCTTACGAAAAAGGTTTGCGACCTTTAGCACTTCAACAATGGTGCGATAATATTATCAATAAACTCGAAGAAAATACTACAACTAGAATTATTTTCGATTTCGATTTGCTCGAAACTATCTCAGCTTTGAAATACATTGCTCTTGATAAAATTCGAGATAGACCACAAAATCAATGAAATAGAGAACTTTTAATTTTCGATTTAATAGAAAGATTTGAAATAAGTGAAGCAGAACGTTTTCAATTTTATCAAGCTTGGCTTGATATTGAAGACAATCAAAGTTATGGAAAAGGTCAAAGTGATATATTATTGAAGTTATCACATCATTTCCTAGTAAATAATAGTATGCGGTTTCAAAAATGTTATGAAACAATAAAAATTTTGAATAAAATTGATTTTGAAACTGTTTACCGTATCTTGTTGAGTAGTAACGATGCATTTGTCGATTTAAGAAAAACATATCTAACTGTAATTATCAAGGAACGTTGCTTGAACAAAAACGAAATCAGTCGTGAATATGTTGAAGCTTTAGCATCAAGAATGATATCAAAGTTTGGCTTTGGTCTAAGTCAAAAATTTTTCGATGCTCTACAAAATATAAATAATTTAAGAGAATTTGAAGATGTGTTGAATTTTGCTGAAAAACATGAGATTAAAATATCTGATATCTATGTGAAAAATACAATCATTTCAGTATTAAAACGATCGTTAGAAATCAAGCTTTTAGGCAATCAATTTAAAGAAATTGATCGACTGAAATTAGGTGTTCATCTTGATAGTTTATTATATCAAAATTGTACTTTCGAACAATTAAATCATATTTTTAGCATTTTCAAAGAATCAAATAGTCGAGATAAAGTACGATATTTGATGTGTGTTCTCGAAATCTTATTATACTACAAAATTCTTCCAAAACAAAAAAAAAATCAAGAAAAAATATTCGTAGCTCTAAAGAATCCAGCAGAACATTGGCAACAAGAAATCAATAAAATTGCAGTTGAAACTATTTTTACTGATATAGATCGAGTCAAAACTCCGAGAGAATTAATAAAAGAGTTCCAAGATAAAAATTTTCATAATAAAAACCTATAAAATCTAACTGAAGATACATTACTAGATTTGACAGAAAGGATAAAAAGTTCGGATTTGATCTCTGAAGTTGGCGATTTCGGTTTAGAAATTGAGTCTCCTAAAACGAGTCAAAACTTACTAATTTATATCACTCAGTGGACACAAGATCAAATTCAATCATAGGCAAAGAAAGTTCAAGAGAACGTTGATATCGATATGAATACCGAAAATTTTCTTGTAGAAACTCTAGCAGTAATAAAGCAAGCAAATCTTTTAGACACTGGATTTCATCTTACCGATGCTCAGATTTTAAGTAGTTTAATCGTTTTAAATGCGAATAGTGATCACGGAAGATTACCACAAGTAGAAACTGGTGAAGGTAAATCGACGATTATTAGTGTATTAGCTGTAGTTTATCCTTTGAAAGAAAAAACTGTCGATATCATTACTAATTCGCCTGTACTTGCAGAACGAGATGCAAAAGAAAAGAAAAAATTCTATAGTATGTTTAATCTTCAATGTGCTCATAACAATGATAAAGCAGTTTATTTATCAGGTCCTAAGATTTGTTACAAAAGGCAAATCGTTTATGGTGAAGCAGCACAATTTCAATTTGATACACTAAGAATAGAATATGCTCAGCTTAATACCTTAGCTGGTGGAAAGTACGAAGTTGCTATAGTAGATGAAACAGATAGCATGCTTATTGCTGATAGTTCGAAAATTGCGCGACTTGCAACGACTATGTCTGGCATGGATCAATTACAGATAATATATCATTTGTTATGGAATCAACTTATATCTCTTCAAAAAAGAATAATTCAATTCAATGATAAAATCTATTTATTCTACAGAAATATTAAGTTTGAACAAAAGAAAGTTGTTCTAGAATATACCAATGAACAAGGAAATATTGTCACTATTCCCGATTTGAAAAGTTACATAGAATCTACTTCTAATATAAGTGATATAGGAGGGGGTGAGTGTGGGTGTGAGTGTGGGGATGTGGGTGTGGTGGTGTGGGGTGTGGAGGTGTCGGGTGTGGGTGGATGTAGGTATAGAGTGAGTGTGGGTATGGATGTGGGTGTGGGCGTAGGTGTAGGTGGCAAAAGAGATAGCATCCCTACCCACACCTGCAACTCCCACCCCACATCTACACCCACAAACCCACACGCCACACTCACACCCACGCCCACACCCTCATAGTTAGATATAGGATTTTTTCTGATCGAGATAAAGAAATTATTCCTTTATTTAAGTTAGAAATAGAATTTTATTTATATAAGAGCAACATACACATTCTCCTTTAGTTTAAATACATAATTAATTATATACCTCCTTTTTTTATTCAACAGAGATAGGCCCCAAACAGACTAGACGAAATAAAACTAAATTAATCACTAATTTATCTCAATGAGATGATTTAAATGTGAATGGACCAATTACATTGCTTAATTTAGTTTTATTTCGTCTAGTCTGTTTGGGGTCATACAGAAAGCATTTCTTTCTTTTAACTTACAGATAGAATTTTTTTATTTAATTAAAAAAGAAATATTACGCTTTTAGTTTAAGTCAGAAATAGAATTTTATTTTATATGAGAGAGATACACATATCATCATTTTCGTTTAAGTACATATCAATTACATATATGATTTTTTTTATCCAAGAGAGATAGAGATAATATTTCTTCAGTATATGTGTATCACAGTTGGAAACACAATTGTTTTATTCAATTGATATAGAACTATGTTCCCTTTGGTTTAAATATATCTTACTAAGAAATAGAATTGTTTTTGTGTACTCAAAAAGTGAGCACACTCTAGAATCGGTCAGTATGTCCGGCCGTCCGGCCGTTTACACGATAACTTTCGAAAGGAGAGTCCGATCACGATAAAATTTTCTATACAGTTCAGTCTTTAGAATATCTCGGTCAAATTCGAAGATGAGAAGGATTGGCCGAGCCATTCCTGAGTTATTGCAAAAATACCCATTTTCCCCTATAGCTTCCTATAGAAAAATCGACCCATCCCCGCTTTCGTAAAAGACTTTTCCTATCATAGTCAATTAAAACCCCAACTATTATATACCATTCGATAGAGAATTTCAAGAGCTACAAAATCATATATAAAACATGAGGAAATAGGAAGATTATCTCATCCATCGCAAAGATAAATAGGGAAGAATCGGTTCTGTTTTTGTGCACGCTCTAATTGATCACCAATTAGAGCTCTATCTTTCGACCATAGAGATGATAATCGAAGGTTGTCTGGGACGGAGAACTAGAATCTGCACTAAACTTGGCTCGAAGCCCCATTGGTTGAGTATTGACCAATAGAAATCATGTTATAGGAAAAACGACTTTCTCAGGCTAAATAAAGCCGAACAGGTGAAATTTGAGGTCTATACGCTCCTAAGTCCTACGGCTGAACAGTAGGCAATGGAATTCAAGGGTTTATAGAAAAGGTTTGCCAGGCAAATTTTTATATCCAGACATTCTAGGATGACCGATTTGTCTCATTCACTTTTTGAAGTACACATAACTCGGATATAAATCCGAGATTTCCACATTTTTTATCTAATAAAGATAGAGATATCGTCCTCTTAGGTTAAGTACACATCAATTCTATATGTGATTTTTTTATCCAATAAAAATAGAGAAATTGTTTCTTTCGCTTAGGTATATCTTAGTTAGGAAGAGAATTTTTTTTTTATTTAATAAAGATAGAGATATTATCCTTTTAGTTTAAGTTAGAAATAGAATTTTATTTTATATGAGAGAGATACACATATCATCGCTTTAGTTTAAGTACATATAAATTATATACATGATTTTGTTTATTCCATATGATGGAGAATATGAATTTGCGGCAAAATCAGTATCATGAAAAAAACAAACAATTTGTCACAAAATCAATTATGCAGTGGTATAGCGGTACAGTGGTATAAGAAATAATAGGGCTATGACTCTTATACCACTATAGCGGTATAGTGGTATAGTGGTATAGTGGTATAGTGATATTGTGGTATAGTGGTATAGCGGTATAGCGGTATAGCGGTATAGCGGTATAGCGGTATAG